TGTTTTTACTGCCTCATAGGTGAAGGCCCCATTTTGTCTGTGAAGAAGAAGGAAGTCTCTGGGAATGGCTAAACTACAGGGGATCTGCAAGGCATTATGGGACTTTGCCAATTTATCTCTGTACAAGATGCCTCTCAAACAATGTTTTCCCCTCACCTGGCAGTTTGGAAAATTTCTTCAAATAAAATCACAGGGTTTTTTGTTTTTGTTTTGCCAATGACCTCTTAAGGAGGAGACATGGAGTGGGTTCGTCTTTGCAAACTGAACTGTGTGCTTTTTGAATGCACCCTTTCTTTTTGAATCTCTCCATCTCCAAAAATACATGATTTTGTGTTAAGTATTCCAGATCCCTCAACCATGGACAAGGTTGTTCACATGAAGGAAACGTCAGTCTTTTACATCTTTATTGGAAACAATCATCCACCCTTGGAACATAACAGGAAGAATGCATAATGGGAGGAATGCATAGGAAGAGATGTATTCCAGTAAATAATCACATTTTCTGCTGCACAGACCACATGCAAATGAGCTCCCAACTGGTGAGAAGAGACAACAAAGCCAGAAAGCACTGCAGGGCCACATATTGGTTGTGTACTGTGCAATATGTCTTCTGTGTACTATTATGCATAATTTGACTGTCTCTTTGCCAGCCTGCTTTGTCCCTGTGGTGTCACGCTGGGTGTTCTGTTTCCCCATCCTTTATCCCTGGAGTACAGGAAAAGCATGTCTTTACTCCTACATCAAAAATCTTTGGTGTAGAGAGGTGTAAAGCATTTGTCCTGAAAGCTCAGCAACACAATTGGAACAGGGGGCAGCTTCTTTTGGGAAATGAGAGATGTGCGGAAATGTTTTCATCAGGCTCAGATCAAAGTGAGGTTGGGTAAAGCAGAACTTTACTAAAACATAAAGATGTACAATACATGTTATATATGTATTATATTGCATCGAATACATGTATAATGCAAATTATTCAATTTGCAAACTAGTTGTGAATTAGTTGCAAACAGATGGATTTTAGGAAAGGAGGATTTTGGGAGTTTGGAAAAAAATTGTGTGATGCCATAAGAAGACATAAAAGAATACTTTAGCCACACATCCAGAAAAAATTAAGTTATGCTAGGTGCGGTCGAATTGGACATAGAATTATTTAATGTGATAAATATTTCTCCCACTTTGTGTATGGCTAAGTTCATCCAAAAATGTGCTTGGGAATGTATGCATTTGGTACTCCACAACTACCACCAGCTGTGTCCCCATGTCTACCCTGCATACACTGTTAAATGACCCAGAACTGTAATCCATATCATTGAGGATTCATATATTTGCTCATTCTGAAATGTAACATATCTATCTTTTTGCCAAAGAGCCTGTCTTTTGCTAGTTTATCATGGTTGAAACAGCTCAGATTTTATAGTAAAGAATAAATGGTCAAAAACTACACATAATTAATGGTGATATTAATACTGTATGCCTTTGTAATGGTACAACTGCACTGTTGTTTGATACACAGTCTCTTTAATGGTTGTACAGTATTCAGTTTAGCTAATCCCTCTAAGACCCCAGTTTATATCAATGCCAGTATCTTCATTGACCTTAAATCTGTTTTGATTTCCTACTTTCATTGGCCTTAAATCTGGCATTCCTTTTACACCACCCACTGGGCAATTAATGGCTCAATCCCTTAGTTATTCCTAACCTGGCAGGAAACATAGGTGCACTGTGTAAGCAGGACTTAATTTTGAGCCTAGTGTCATAGCATTATCTACCAACTAAAGCCCCAGATACAACCTATCTTGAAATAGTGGGTACTTATAAGCACCCCCCCATTGGAAAACCTTTGAGTATCACCCTTGGGAGTGGTTCCCAAGATAAACAAATGGGAATACAGGCTCATTCATCATCTGTCTTACGTGGAAGGGAAGTCAGTGAATGATGTCCTTCCTCAAGAGCTTTGCACCATGCGATACACCTTAAGTTCCATAGTGCATATGGTCCACAGGTGTGGAACTGGGGCATTAAGTTGGCATTTCATATCCTTCCAGTCCACCCATTAGACTTCAACCTTTTAGGCTTCAGTGTTGATAGGGCTTTACCAATGGGCACTGCATTTGAGCGGTTCAGTTCATTTTTGGAATGGAAGCTCAGGTGCAGAATTGGTTGCAGGTGCACTGTCCATTATTTAGTTTACTACCTTTTCTGTGTTGAAGGCAATACTGGGCAGTGCAAATTTATTCTGGATTTGTTCCAGACATTAGCTAAGGAATCAGGTGCTCTGTTAGCTGAGAAGAAAACAGAGGAGCCAGCTACTTCACTTACCTTCTTAGGGATCGAACTGGACAATTGGCAGCAGGCTTCTAGATTACCAGAGGACAAATTAAAGGCCCTTAAAGATCTTATTGAGCTCCTCTTAAGGAGCAGGAAAGTTTCACTGAAAGAACTCCAGGAGATTGCTGGCCATTTGAATTTTGCATGTAATCACCCCAGGTCGCACTTTTCTGCATCGTTTATGCAGGGCTACGAAGGGCCTTTGTCACCCTTTTCACAGAACTAGAGTTACCAGGAGTGTGAGGGAGGACCTGCAAGTGTGGAGCCAGTTTTTAGCAGAATTTAATGGGGTGTTGTTTTGGTGGTCCGAAATGCACCTTAAGACAAAATTTCAAGTACAGATGGATGCAGTGGGCTCCCTAGGTTTTGGAATTTGTTTCAAAGGAAGGTGGTGCACTGAGTAGTAGCCTGAAGCATGGCACCAAAAAGGCATTATGAGGGATCTCACTTTTTAAAGAGTTTTTTTCCTATAGTGGCTCTGGGCCAATTCAAATGTATGGTTCTGGTGTGACAACCAGGCTGTTGTATACAATGTAAACAACCTTAAGTCACATTCAGAACGGGTTATGGCCCTAGTGTGTGCATTCACATTACGTGCCCTGAGGTTTAATGTTCTTATCCAAGAAAAACACATTCCGGGCTTCGACAACAGTTTGGCTGATGCGCTATCACACCAACAGATCACACAGTTCAGGGAATAATCCAGGAGCCAGCAAAATTCCAGAGAAACTACCAACAGAGGTCTGGAAAATTGGCATAACAACACAGATAGAGCAATAGACTTGGCCCTGGCCCCAAGAACACAGAAGGGGTGCCTAGCAGTGAGTATAGAGTTCCGGAAGTTCAGGAGTTTAGTGGGATTGGAGCTCATATAGCCTGCCCTGGTGGAGCATCTACAACAATTTATAGTGTACTTAAATAGGAAGGGTTTAGCACCAGGATCCATCCAAGGCAGGTTGTCAGCCCTAGACTTCCATGCTAGAATGCAAGGGTATCAAGACTTTACCTCTGACTTTCAGATCAAGAACATGATTGAAGCCTGGAGTAAAGAAAGGGGACAGGTTAAGGATTCTAGGACATATTTAGGTTTCAGGGGACAGGGTCAGGGTTATTTCTTTATACATAAAGATGGGACCCCTTTAACAAAATATCAGTTCTGGAAGATGACTGATTTGGCACTAGGCAAGGTTGGGATCCAAGAACTAAAGTTTGGCACTCATTCCTTTAGAATTGGGGCAGCTTAAACAGCAGCTGCTCTTGGTTATAGCCCTGATGGCATCAAGCGTTTAGGACCCTGGTCATCCACAGCTTATCAAAGATATGTAAAAGCACTCCCTCACATTTAGGCAGGTGCCTGTTTTTTATTTGTTTGTTTGTTTGTTTGTCATTGCAGGTCCAACTTATGATACTGGGCCACAGCTACGTTTTTTGGGCAGCCAGATATGCTGCTCAGTCAGTGTGGGGGAGCAATTTGAGTCTCGGAGCCAGAGTCCAAATTGTGTGGAAAAAGCCATCAGCTGCCCCAAAGTCCTCAGGGATGCTCCTTCACAGGTGAAGGCCCCTTTAGCAACCTCCATTTTGTCTGTGAAGAAGAAGGAAGCAGCTGGGACTTGCCAAGCTGCAAAGAAGCACTAGTACCCTCTTTGTCAATCAGTCTCTGTACCAGGGTGCCTCTCAAACGAAATGATTTCCCCTCCCCCCACCTGCTAGCTGCAGGCACAGAGCATGACTCCGGCCTTCTTTAGGCCTCCTTTTGAAAGGGGATGTTGTGTTAATACATTAATATTCAAGAAAGTGTGGCCCATATTTTAAACCGACTCAGATCAAAGTGAAGTTTGGTAAATCAGAACTTTACTTAGATATAAAGATACACAACGCATATTACATACATAGTCACAGGTGCACAAAGATGGATCATGTTTAGTACAGTAGTAGGTGCATCAGTGAAGGAGCTGAGGACTCAGGCTTTAAGAGAGACAAATGGGCTCAGATCTGCCCTCTTGCCAGGAGGAGGCTCCTACACTTCCTGCTTTCCGAGTTAAGTTCCAGTCCTTCAGTCAATTTAATTTAGGACTGGTCCAACCAACATGTTTTATCGATTGGCCATCTTGCCTTGGAGTGCAGAGGATCCCAAGAGGGAGGGTTTGAGAAGAAACCTGAAGCTTTATCTGCTCTCTCAAGTGCCTTCTCTGGTAACAGTGCCCAGTTCTTACTGTCCTTCCTTAGCCAGCCCTCTTTAAGTTTCACACCTGCTGTGTTAATATTTCCTTGGCCCTGTTTTCCAGCTGGAGATTCCTCTAGTCCACTGAATGCCAAATGGGGAACATGGTTTCCGTTTGTCCACCATAATGATGCAGTGAGTGGGCGGGGAGAGACTGCTTGCAAAAGGGCTTGAAATATAAATAACAGAGTGATATGTACCAGCAATATGGCACCACTGAAACAGGAAACAATCAAACAAGGAAACCAAACACAGAATTTTATAGGAGGGAAATTTCACAAGGGCCCAATAGATGAAGTAATTGCTTCTTTCACCATCCAGGGCTTCTTCTCTGTTTGTTGGTGCAGATGCCTCTAACTCTGTGTGGCTGTCCTAGACTCCAGAGCAGTAGTGGTATTTTCTTCAGTCTGAGTTGTTGTTCATCCTCACAAAATAATGAAACAATTTAACTCACCTTTTTACCCTCTGGAAGAAAAGTGGACGGAGATTCCAGAAGTTCCTCAATGAACACAAAGGATGCCATAGAGATAAAAGCTACCAAGGAAAGCAAAACAATCCATTTGTTCAAAGAGTTCGCTCCATATTGTACCTGGGATTACAGCAACAAAAACTTACCTAAAACAACAACTAAAGAATAAAGTGTTTTCTAGAGTAATCTTCACATAGTGATTTTCCTCCTCTTTCACTGCCACAAATCCTTAGCTTTTTCCTATGTGTACATTTCTCCCTTCACTTAGGCCTTTATACTATCCTTCACATAGCCAGCCTCCAGGTATTGAACTCAGCAACATTCATCTTGAATAGAACAAAAATATTTTATTAAAATAGCAGTGTTAAAGGAATATTGTTCATTCCTTGGCTTTAGGTTTATTCAGCACAGGTCTCCATACTCTCTGCCACCTCTCCCTTTCAAACTCTCTCACATACTACTCTCTCACATTGCTTTAAAACACAACCAAGACTCCATGATCTATCTCTCTCTCACACACACACCTTCCTTGGCTTGTTTCTCTTCCTCTAATCAGAATCATTTTCCCCAACATCCATGCTGTTCACTCACCTCCTCTTATCACATATACATCAAATCAACACATTTGAAAAAAATACATTTAACATCACAATATAAACAATACCTTTAAATATATTAATATATAACAATCTGTTCCAACACCATCAGTGAACAAAAGAATTCTAACTTCAGTGGGGTACGAATTAGAGCAAGCAAGCTTAAATAGTTAGGAAATTTCACACATAAAAATTGATGAAGGTGGTGTTGGATAAATCCTGAGGTCAAGTTAAGAATGCTTCCGTCTCCGTGAGAGGCTTTATTTGTGGCCTCAGGGATCACTATCCATCAAGAAATGCAATTCAGTGACAAATTCAACAGGGAAACTGTTGACCTAAGGTGTTTTTTTCAGCCTCACTACATATGTTAACAAGCTGATTTGTGTCAAGTTGGCTATATTACCACCACACCTGTTTTTGCTTTTTGCCACCTGCATGACAAAATATCTGTCTTTGTAATTTTCGCCTTCATATTTCTTCTGCCCAACTCTGCATATTCCATAGATATATTTGATTATATTTGGTATGGAAAAAGACTTTTCTCCACCATAAATGGATGATTATGCTGATCTACACTTGGATGTACAGACTATAGCTCTATAACTGTGCAAATCTTTGTAGTACATTAGAGATGTCACATACAAAAAGAGATCACCTTTACAGAACAGAACTAAAAAGAATTCACCAACAAACATCTTAAACCCCAAACCTTGAATACAGCATTTTTTATTCCCTTGTTTCTCATGCTGTAGATTATAGGGTTCATCAATGGTGGAAACATGGAATATAATATTGTCATTGTTAAATCAAGATATGATGGAGAATTAGAGGGGGGCTTAATGTAAACAGAACATCCTGTGAGTACCAATAAGGAAACCACAATAAGATGGGGAAGGCAAGTTGAGAACGCTTTCTGTCTTCCTTGCACAGAGGGGATTTTCACCACTGCATTAAAGATGTACACATAAGTCACAATGATGAAAACAAAGCACCCTACTACAGCCACAGCAGTTAACAAAAGAAGGTCAATTTCAATTAGATACAAGTTGGAACAGGTGAGCTTAATTAAATGCGGTATTTCACAGAAAAATTGATTGACAATGTTGGAGCAAAAGGGGGATGCAAACGTACCTCCAGTGTGTAATACTGCATAAAGGAAGCTACTAAGCCAGACGATAGTAATCATTTGAAGGCAGGCTTGCTTGTTCATCAGCATCTCATATTTTAATGGATTACAAATAGCAACATACCGATCATATGCCATTACTGTGAGAAGAAAGAAATCAGACGCTCCAAAGAACAGGAAGAAAAGCACTTGAGCAACACATCCAGAATATGAAATCTGTCTGCTACCCATGAGGGAATTTGCCATGGATTTAGGGACAATGACTGAAATTTGTCCCACATCCTGTATGGCCAGGTTCACCAGAAAGAAGTGCATGGGGTTATGCAAGCGGTGGTCAGTTAATACTGCGGTGATGATGAGAAGATTTCCTCCAACTGCTACCACATAGTAAACAAGGAAAAGAATGAAGTGTAGAACCTGCAGCTCATGAACCTCTGAGAATCCCAAGAGAAGAAATTGTGTGATGGAAGACTGATTACTTTGGTTTTGCTCCAAAAGATCCATGGTTCCTGTTTATGGAAGGAAGCAGAAGGACATGAGTGCAAAAAGAGAAGCCACATTACTTGCAGTTGGATTTTACTATTTTTGTTGACAGAATCCATCTGCATTTAAAATAATTACTAGACTAATCTATACCAGGGAGGCTTGTAAAAATTACTGAGAAAGAACAATTCCTCACTCCAGATATTCTGGAGAGCACCCTTCTTATGAGCCATCAAGTACCTGCTCCAGAAGTGTCTAGGAATTATTATACAGTACTACTAATACAGTGGGGTCTTGACTTGAGAACTTAATCCGTATTGGAAGGCGGTTCTCAAGTCAAAAAGTTCTCAGGTCAAATCTGCACATCCCATAGGAATGCATTGAAAACCATTTGATCCGTATCTGCTCTTTTCCGTCCATAGAAACTAATGGGAAGCTGCTATTCCACCTTCGACCACTAGAGGGGGATATTTTGTTTCTTAGGTCAAGAAAGGTTCAAGGAAGGCAGGGAAAATACAGTCCAGGCAGTACAGTACCAGGCAGTCTGAAGACTGTCTCCCAATCCACTCTGTAAACGCCGGGAGGAGTGAGGAAGCAGACAGGCACCCTTTTCACTGGCCAACAGTTAACTGAAAGTTCAAATTTTGCACTTTCCCTGCCTCCCACGTGGTTTTTTTTCAGTTCATAACTCAAATCTAAGTACGTAAGTCAAGTCAATATTCTCCTATGAGAGCGGTTTGTAACTCAAAATGTTCGTAATTCGGGCCGTTCTTAAGTCAAGACCCCACTGTAAAGGCGAAACATTTGGTAATAATTTATTATTAGTATAATTATGTTTGCATCAAAGAAAAAAAATTACTTGAAAATTTGAAATCTAGAGGATATTAACCTCAACATCTTCCCAACCTACAGATTACCAAAGGACATAACCTCTTCTTCATCACAAGTCAAAACATATCCCTTGGAAAGAAGTAGAAGATCTTACAATACATGTTTAATAGGATGATAAATCTAGCCGGTGTGCTTCCACTTTTAATATTAAGCTGACATTATTACTGTTGTATTTTTATTACTCCTCCTTTTTTCCCTAATCTATGGATCTGTTAATGCTCTGTGTACATAACCCACAGTTTGGAGGCTGTAACGTGCTGGATGATATTCATGAATTGAAGCTGAATCCCAACAAGATGAAGGGTTTGTAGTTCTTTGGTCTCATTTCTGTGAATTGGGTAGATGACCTGTTTTGGATGGGGTCACACTTCCCCTGAATGATGAGATAAGTCTTAGGATAATCCTGAATCTATTTTATGCATAAGACTCACCTGAGGCCAGAGTCTTTGAGTGCCTGGGGGCATCATCCATTGGGTTGCAAGTTATAATCATATTTCTAAGGGACAATCTGACTATGAAAGTTCACATCTTGGTAACCTTGAAGTTAGGCTAATTAAAGATTGTTGTAGGTTTTTCGGGCTCTTTGGCTGTGTTCTGAAGTTCTTCCTAACATTTCGCCAGTCTCTGTGGCCGGCATCTTCAGAGAACAGCACTCTGTGCTCTGAAGTGCTGTCCTCTGAAGATGCCAGCCACAGAGACTGGAAAAACGTTAGGAAGAACAACCTTCAGAACACGGCCAAAGAGCCTGAAAAACCCAGAGCAACCATTAGATCCCGGCCGTGAAAGCCTTCGCGAATACATTAGACTAAATAACTTTACATAGGCCATCCCTGAAGGTGAGATGGATGCTAGAGTGAGTGCAGTATCTCACAGCTAGACTATTGAAGAAATACTTCACAGAGCCTCTATGGCTGTGATGCTGAAATAAATATACCAGCTGCCAATACCTATCCAGTCCACATCCAAGGTATTGTTGATGACCTACAGAACCCCAAATGACTTTGGAGGTAGTTATTTAAGGACTGCCTTTTACTTTAGGTGCTTGCCTGAGCATTAGATCTGTTGGGAAGGTAATAGAAGTGTGGGACAGTAGTAATAATGAGTAATGGTCCAGCCATTTTTCTCTGTTCTACAGTTATTTATATCTCATATTTCAAGTGTGTGTTTGTATATGGGTGTGTATGAGAGAGAAACAGAGAGAGAGAAAGAACAAAATATATGGTAGAACATATATTTGAGTCAAAAACAATAGAGAAACTCGTAAAGTAATAAGGTAGAAAGTACTTACTATTTTTCTTCACATATTACTGTCAGCTTCTGATGAACGCTCTATTCCACTGATATTCAATGCATGTGTATAGTATCTTACCAGACAGAGGTACCATTTTATAAATCTTTCTTCTTCTGTACCTTTGTGATGTAAGAAAGAGTTAGTAACATCTCCTGTTAATATCTCCTTTTGTGCCCCTTGAGATGTGCTCCTATGGGAATCCAACAGAGCTCCAAAACACAAATGCTCAAACATGAGACTATTGATTAATATGTACCAATGATCTCCCATGCCATTAGGTAGTTTCCTTTGTCTGTAATGGATGCTTGTATTCAACCAGGGAAAAGCTAGGGAAAAGAAAGATGGAGAACTGACTGAATAAATATGATGGTTCATAGAAAACTATCCATTTTAAAGTGAAGGATAAGAAGAGGACATTTTATTATTGAGAAAAACATATGTGGTGAAAAGGCAAGGTTAGCTAAAACTGAAATAAGCATTTGAAAAGCAATTTTGCTTTATTGTTTAGGTATGGATCTCTGCTCTCTATAAATTCACTAAGCAAAATGCTGCTGGCTTTCATTAACATTTTTCTCATGTTGTGCAAGCAAAACTATTCCCATTTTAACACCAGCCTACATTTTAACAGTGTGACCCCAAACATATTTCATAGAATCATAGAAAAGTGAAGTTGGAAGGGGCCTACAAGGCCATCAAGTCCACCCCCTGCTCAACACAGTAATGGAATCAAAAACAGCATGTCAGCTTCAAATAGCATATTAA